AGTTGCAAGTTTCAGAAGAAAGTATTAAAGTAAGGCTTATCAAATTCTTAATATCTATAATTTTCTTCTTTGGAAGTTTTTAAAAACCTGTAACAGTGGCGGATCCAGAGAGAAGGGGGGAGGGGGGTTCCGGGTGTTGGAACCCTCCTTTTGTTGACGATCAATGTATTTGAATGGGGACATATAGCTGGAAACCGCCCCTCCCCCCTAATCCTGGGTTAGGAACACCCCTCCTTTTATAAATGGCTGGATCCACCCCTGTGTAATTACTTGAAAAAATGCCATTTCAACCATTCCATGACTAATTTAATGTTACAAAAGTAAAGGAACATAAAATATGGAATAGTTATTCAAGAAAGTGTCGAAATATAACTACAATCATTAATTTTACTCGAATTTACTGATGTGAACTTGCAATTTCCTACGATGCGTGTACGGAGTTATCTCCCTTTGATCTCCACTTCGCCACGAATAAGCTGACACAATTACGTATCCGGTAAATTAAGGATCGATTATAACTAAAATCTAATGTAAAAAATGATTTTATTTCATATTTTGTACCCCCCAACACGTTACCATACCTGTTTAAGGAATAATTAGGGATTTTCCGTTGACCTACGCAAATTTTCCCCAAAAAAGTTTCAATTCACTCGTCAATTTAGAATATTTTAACAACACTTTTTAGTAATAAATATAAAGAATAATAAAGCTTATTCATCTAAGATTCGAACACTTCTATTTTTATTAATGTACGAGTAAAAATAATACGATACGAGTAAAAAAACCACGAGGCATGTACGTTTACCAAAAAAACTGTAAACTCTGACCTGTTGTCACGTGATCAATGTCTTGACCTTAGAAGCCATTAAATCGTTTGCCGTCCAACTGTTATTCACACCCGTTTTATTCCAGAAGGATGATCCTTTGGATAATTAAACGTATCGAATTTATCTAGAACATGTGGAGTAATATCTTGGTAAACATCCTCTGTCTGAATTTCATACGCTTAACTATCCGTATCGGTGAATAAAAGTTTTGCTTTGTCACCATACATTTTCCGTATGAAATTGTAATGGAAATCATACATGAAGATCTTTGAAAGATCTAAGATGCAACTTCCCAAGTAAATAGGTTTATCAAATTTGATTTTCTCCTTTTTCATATGAGTGGCTACTAAATTTTCGATTAAGACAACTCGACGATCGAAATTAGGTAAAGCTACAAGTTTTAAAGCTTACTTTTCCATTGTGACTTATTTCACATCCACTCGTTTACGAATATTCTCCATGGTCTAACCAAACACGGAATTGTTAATCAACGTAAAAAATTCTTTTTCAGAATAAGTTTAAGCTTTAGCACGAAGATTCGTATTTAAATCTATATACTTTTTAAGCAATGGGAGTTGTTTGAATTTTAAAATTCGATATACTTTATCTATTTTTATTCCTTAAGATTTATATTGTTTTAAATTTCTATTATGAAGTACATATTTAGCACGTTTGTCTACATGAAGAATTAATTGAAGAACTCCAGTATTTGTTTCTTTATTTTAAGGTGCTAATGGGTAATCATTATGATCATCGTGTAATTCTTGAGGATACTCTAAATCACATTCTTTCATACATCCATACTCGTGATCGTCTGGATAGTTTAAAAGATCTTCAATATTTTTAGGTTTTATCCAATTAAAATCTTCCGTAGATAAATGTTGTGACATTGCCCATCCATATAAATCATTAGCATCTAAATACGTTAAATAGGTACTAGGTTGTGTGGAATCATATTTTGTCATATATTTATTATTTCCCTTGCCGTATTGATGACTTATCTGAGCAACTCCTCCTCTAGTAGCTTTCTCAAACAAAAGTTACATATCTGGATCAGAAAACAATCCTCATCTTGATCTTCTTTTGTTTTCCTCTTATAGTTGATGTGTTTCCCTCGATTTTGGTTTGTAACCCGGATTTGTTTTCTCTAAATCGATTTATGACTTTTGAACACCGGTATATACTACTGTTGCCTTCATTTACTTTACTTATTTTCAATGCGTCATCAGAAGCTAATCCGGGTGGTGAGTAATAATGCGTAGGGTCGATATCAGAATTTTGTAAACAAATATCTCTAAAATTCTCAAAAAAAATATTCTAATTGTACGACATCCCCTTTTAAGTAAAGATTGTGATAATCTTGCATAGTTTGACAATTGAATGTTTTAAATACACATTTAGCGTGTGTATACTTCTCATCACTAATGTGCTCACCATTCAGTTTATTTAAATTCTATCCTTAGATGGTAATTCTGTTTCCCTCATTTTTGCAGGATCATCCATATAGTCATAAGGATAGACACCTTTCCTAATCATCAGATCATAATTGTCACCGAAACATTTCTTCACCCCCTTAAATTTATCAGATTCTTTGCTATTTTTTCTTGAGAATTTAACATAAACCTCAAAGAATCTATAAATCGCATTTCCAACTCTCCATCTATTTTCGTAGAAAAACTGGTGCATTTTGCATCCGTATTTGGAATACAAGGAATGTTTTCTTCACCTAATTCCTTCACAAACAAATGAGCATCATACTTTCTTTAATTATGAATACAATAGGTACAAAGTTTAGAAGATGGAAGTCTAAATTACATTTTTTTATGTGCAGCACCTCGATACTTACCCGTAAGGTGATCGTGATCGCGAACTTTATCCTTACCTAATGCATCATTACAAATATGACACCGTGTACTTACTTTAAAGCTTTTCTCATCTTCCTATGTCATAACCATGTCTTTTTCATCTTTATAAATTTCAGCAATCTGTCTTATTTCCTTTTCCATACATTCAATAAACTTTTTTGCTACATCTTCTCCACAGTACACCTCAGGTTCTTTGTAATCTCCATGGACATATTTTACATGATACCAAAAACAACATGGTGTATGTTTTTGATACGCATTGGTATAAGGTGTTGAAGAATTAGGTTGACAGGTGTCTATCTTCTCTAAAAAAAAACCATTCGAAATCATCACAGATCCCATAAAGAACTCTCATTTTACGTTTATGGTTTTGAAAACTTATAAAGGTGCCTTCGTCCGGCATCTCAATTCTCACTGCCTCCTTTAAATGACAAGAGTCCATGTGTTCGTCTAAAATGTCTTGTCTAAAAAAGTGATTCAAACACCTTGTACAAAAATAGACTGATTCTTTGTGATATGTTACTTGAGAAGTTAAAAGACGTGATAAACTTTTAATCCAACAGTAATGTTGTTTTCTGGCGTTAGTCAAGAACAAGAGGTCTACGTATTTCGCACCGGTGTTCTTTGATATCCTTAAAGAGTATACTTCCAGTTTTTCTTCTTCATTGTCATCTATTTCTACACCATCATAACCAAAAGCATTAATGCCGAGATCTGTATTCTGGCTTTCAAATTTTTCAATGGACTTAAGCGATATTGGAAATTTAATACCGTTAAACTTGAGCTCATTTTCGCATTTGTAGTATTGATTCAATCGGAAGACATGATTCTTATCCACCTCATCATGATGTAGTGCTGATAATACTGCTCATTGAAAACATCGATCATCCTTGTTTCTGACGTTAACAATAGCCTTCCTTTGAGCAAGTTTTGATGGAGTAGCTTTGTACGATCTCCCTTTAAGTGCTTTAAATTTATTCAAATGAATTTGTAATTGTTCAATGTGACCAAATGTCCATCCACTACCTTCACGCATGTACTTTGCCATATATTCTTTCAAGGTAAATCCAGAAAAGCGCCTAGGAAACATGAAATTATTAACGTGTTGTTTTTTTTTTAACCTTTTCCTTCATAAATGCAATCTCCAATTCAAGAACTGTTGATTTAGTAATAGTTATTACATATGATCTAAATATGGAGTGACGTCGGTACTTTCACCAGTTGCGGGGTTCGTTTTTACTAACTATACTTGAAGCACTAATTGTACCTTTAAAGCCTTCTTTTTAGTAAGTGCATCAGAAATTTTATTTGAAATGGTGTTTTCTTTTACCTTAAAAAAACGTATCCAAATCATTTTGATTCAAAGGTTCAATGGTCACCGTACCAAATATACCATATAGCGCTTCACGTCTATCGGTGATTTTAATTTCGTCTTCCATCGGTGCATTTTCAATATCCCTTTTTATCAGCTAAAGTAAGTCGTCTCTTCTAAGCCAAGAGTACTTAGTTTTACCACGTCTTTTTGCTAGTGTTTTAGCTCCTTTTTGGTAAAAACATCTTCGCGGGTAAATTTTATGTTGTTTTTTTCCTCCATGAGTTTTATTAACTTTTACTTTGAAATCTAACTAAACCATGTTAAACCTGCATCTTTCCTCCAATGTCAACATTTTTATTATCATAATTGGATGGTTGTTTTGTAGGTCTCCAGCACAGTCCGTTTGTTTTAGGTTTATTCTTACCAAACCCCTTATTCCTCTTTAGTTTTACACTACAAATCTTAATAAATTTAGCACCACCGCTTTCACTTGGTATCAATTTAAATGATGACAGCCCAGATGAACCAGGCATTTCTTCATCGTTAATTATATTTGCATTCATATTCATATTTTTACTATTATCACTTTCCCTTAAGGTGTTTAAATCCATATTATTATTATTTTGTAAGAAGGTCATATTATGATTACTATCAACTATATTTTCATCAGAATAATATCTGATAAATTAATCATGATCTCCCAGACAAATCTTTAATTAATTGAAGTGATCTTAGCGTTTCCAAACAATAACTGCTATCATATTCCCGTAACAAACAAACTTTACTGCATCACGCAAAGCCATAATAACCTTTATCAGGGACGCTCAAAACCGAATATATGAAAGCCAACGATGTATAATAACCGAAACAGTTGAATAGCTATACGACTAACACGGACCAAAAAATATTTATCCAAGGCCAACTTTGCCTGATTAGACAGAGAGAGTTTAAATGTTAGTTTCTTAATTATATTGTAATTTAAAAGGATGAATGTATATATAATGCGAATTTTAAGTATAGTCAATGTTTTAAAAGGCGTTGAAATCTTTAAGAGTAATATGCGGCATTGATATGTTTCTCCTTTTTTTTGCAAATATTTAAGAAAGAAACACTGAATATTTCGTATAGCTTTCAGCAGTTTTTTTTATTCATTATCATCACCAAAAATGGTTCCATCAATTTTATCTTGAACAGCAGCTGAAACAAGATCATTCATTTTTCTTAACCGACTTGGTGTATTTGCCGATTTCTCAATTATTTCATCTACAAAATTAGCCTTATCACTCCCTGGTGATTTGGACCCTTGACTACCTTCCTCAGCTAAAGCATGCATTTTCTGCATCAACATTGATATTGATTTTGATACCGATTTTTCTTTTTCTTTTTCTTTCTCTTTCGGTGGAGACGTATCACTGATTATAGTCTCACTTCCACGGATACTTTTAGAAGACTGTTTCATAGAAAGACTCGTACGTCTTCCCAATAGACTAGTTCGCCTTCCCATCATACTAGTACGTCTACTCATTACACTTGCTCTACGGTCTTTGTCATTCTGTGCTGGGACTTTAGGTACAGGTATAAACTTCTTGCAGCCACCACGAAGTGAGAAATTAATGATAAACTGTTCATCACCTGAAATAAGAGGGAAAGCAAATTTTGCTAGTTTGTCGTATAAGGATATAGATGATAAAAACTGGCAAGCATGTATATTTCTACGCCAACTTCAAGAAACAACTTGTCAGTATAAGAATGAAAAAATCTTGCCTTTAAACGTAAAAGATCAAGAAAAGATACCTGCTAAACTATATATTTCAATGTCATTATTTATAGTTCGATATAATAAGACCTAGTAAGACAAATTTACAAGAAAACAAATGTTTGCCACAGTAGTTTATTTAGTAGGCATTCTTTATTTGCCTTTATTTACCGATGTTCAAATCTTAGTAATTGATTAAGAATATACAAATCAAAGTAACAAACAGTCTACAAGGATTGTACTTGCAAAAAAAATGCAAGGACAGTAATAAATTGAAGAAAGATTAAGTTCTTTATCTATAGTTGCAATTTCGTAGGAACATTATTCACAGTAAAACGATACTGTCGGGAAAACAACATACTTGTCATGGCGAAAGACAGGTGTTTTTCAACTTTTGGGTCTTCGAATAATGATGTAAAATGCTGATATATTTCTTTTTCATTCCAATTTGTAACAACGACCCCGTAGCCGTTAACCATTTTGAAAGATTATCTGGTCTTCTTTTACATGTTTTTCCCATTGTCTGGCTAAATCTTTGAATGAACATATTAGTAAGATTGTGTTCATTGATTTAGGTTATCTAATACAGAAATGTTGTGTAAATTTAAAGGTCACCAGTTGTTTTAACATGATTAGTAGCCTAATACATATGAATCGGGAACTCGCACTGCTGCAACCAGGATGTTTAGACTTGAGGTGGTTGATGCGTTTATGTAGTTAGAAGCGTTAGTCGTAAGCTGTATGTTATAAGTATTAAAAGAATGATATGATGCCCATGCGCACAATAACTGACAATGACTGATATAACATTCATAACCGACACACGAGACCAAAAGATCGAAAAGCCAAATATAAAACATTTAAAAGCATACCAAAAAGGACATAAAAAGGAAACCCGAAATCGGGTAAGATCAACGGTGACAGAAAGAGCTGTAACCTTAGTTTTAGCACAAGTACATGATATTTTGAACAGTACATTTACTAACCAAATGCCAGATTTAAATCCAAGGCACTGACTTTTCTTTTTAGTTTTAGGTCTTAGTAGGTCTTACTGTTCCGCAAGTATTCAGGTACTTATATATCCTGGTATTTTAAGGGTTTTGATTTATTCGTTCCGATGAATGTAAATCCAGCAACACGCTTCGGACACACCAGATTCATAAAGTTATGTTTACATTTTATAATTTCTATTGCTTATTTACTAATATACATAGCCACAGATAGCCACAACCACCTAAGGTCAACTTTTCAATGTTTATTAAACGAGTTGTTTTTGACAGCCAATTTTCATAAACTCAGACTATAGTGACACAATAAAAAGGAAAGAAAAAAGTCTTATTATTAAATAAACACATACCTCTGTCACAACTCAAATGTCCTGCACTAAAGAACCTGCTACAGCTACTTGGGTAGAGCAGACTTTGATACAAATGACGTTAAGTATAGACTTGTTGCAATAGTTATAGTTATTTTGATTTACAGTCCATTCAAACAAATGACAACGACTTTTAATGATGATGAGCAACGTACTTCTCTTTTAAAGCAGAATTCATTAATATGTGACAAGTAAAAGTAAAATTATCATTTACCTGAGTATTAAATGCTTTTGGAATCAGAGCTAAAAATTGAGATTACGGAATTAAACTAGAAAAGCTTTGAACAGATTTTACAAATAAACAACATTCATTTCTGCTGTAAAAATATGGCAAATTCCATGTTTTTCTTTTCGAACGTTCCAAAACAACGTTCGAATTGGAGTGGCTCAATTTCGTTATGTAAGTAAATTTGTATCAAAAATTCATTATAACATGTAAATGTTATAGGGAGAACTGCAAATATAAAATCCCCAACCCTCTAAATAGAAGATAAGACAGTTCATTGTTTTTATTATGCGCATCACCTCAATGATTTGAAATAATATGGGTGCATATTGCAATGATTTAGCAAATAATATGCGTTCATATTGCAATAATTTAGTAAATAATATGGGTGCATATTGCAATGATTTAGTATATAATATGGGTGCATATTGCAATGATTTAGTAAATAATATGGGTGCATATTGCAATGATTTACTAAAAAATATGGGTGTGCAATGATTTAGTAAATAATATGGGTGCATATTGCAATGATTAAGTAAATAATATGGGTCATATTGCAATGATTTAGTAAATAATATGGGTGCATATTGCAATGATTTAGTAAATATGGTCTGCGAGTATCGTCAAACCAGCTATTGACTTACGAAGTGCAGAAGGAGTACCAGAGTCAACGATCAAACGATCATAAGCAGACCCGACTCGATAATCGAGAGTAGCTAAATGTTTTATTTGATAACGATTTCAATGTTTCTAGAACACTTTGTTTATGATTCTTTATGAGATTATTTAGTTGTGCACAAGTGCATGAATCACACAGACCATAAACGAACTGAGTTGACACGGCTTTTAGATTTTAAATACAGATTTGCGTTTCTATTTATTATAGGTATTGTTGTTGTTTTGTTTATTGAAAAAATAGAAAAAAAAAATAATCTTTATGTTTTTGAATTAAGTTATTATTTATTAAGTAATCTATTTCGATCATTACATTAGAATATTTTTTTTGAGAGGATGAATCTAATTGAAATATAGAACTCGATATCTCCATAAGAGATCTAATTGAGATAACGAAATCAGAGTTCTATATTTTAATTAGATTGCGAGAGGATGAGAGAGCTGAGATTTCATGTTGAGTGAGAAAAGGACACTCTTCTCATTTTTATCAACAACTGAAGATCTTTTTTCTAGAAATGCATTCTTAAAAAGTAAACTGAAAAAGATATTGAAAAATGGATATTCACTTTTATGTTGCCGCTGAAAACAAACACCAATGTCTTGAATCATTGAATTTAAAAAAGACTAGAACAGTTTTCATATAATTATACTAAATTGTATTGACACGCGTGTTCTTTGAATATTTTATTAGTGTATCTTTGTTTGACTCTTTCTTCGTACTTTTAACTTTGGAAACATTTCTCATATGTGTGTATGACGATTTTTGCGAAAATGCAGAAAAAAGATAAGAATGGTATAGATTACTTACTCAAATAAGCTATCAAAATACATGGGTTAAATAAAGGAGAATAGGCTGTGCCTTTCATGCCTATAATCAATAAATGCAATTCTCCAACTAGAAGAATTGAAAAGATTTTAGATTTAATATTAAAACCTTTATAGAGGGAACTAGAGTTTTACATTAAAGACACAAAAGATTTTATCAATAGGAAAGAGTCAAAGACATGTGTACATAACTGCACACTAATTGCCTATAATGTAACCTCAATGTATACAAACATGAACATTGACAATTTACTAGATACAACCAAGCATTTCTTAGATCAAATAGATCGAGCAAAGTATAAGTTTAAAGTACCAAACAAATAAGTTCTAATATCTTTTGCAAAAATTATATTGGAAAACAATAAGTTCCAATTTAATGGGATCTTATATAAACAAGTTATAGGGGCGCCTTAAGGTGGAATATTATCACCCACTGCCACCGATCTACATCTGTCAACAATACTTACACAAATCTTAGACAGATTTCAATTTAGAAATAGCATAAGTATGATTTGCCAATATCGTGACGATGGCTTCATGATTACAGAGTGCAACACATCACAAATTGATGAGTTCTTTGTAATTGCAAACAATATTGACCCTCTACTTAAGTTTACGTATAATTTCTCCAATACAGAAGTGACGTACTTAGATACTAAGGTGTACAAAGGGGAGCGTTCTAAATCGAGTGGGGTCCTTGACTTCAGGTTACATGTCAAGCCAACTGAAACTTATCAGTATCTCCCCATTACAAGTGCACATCCTAGACATACTTTTAAAAGTATTATAACAGGTGAAACAATTCGTCACATAAGAAACAATAGCAACGAAACTGATCTTAACAAACATCTTATGACTTTGGAGAATAAACGTATAGATAGAGGCTATGATAAGTTAGAAACTGCAAAAACATAAAAAATGTGAAATACAAGATTAAACGATGCAGTACTCTGTCAAATAATTTTAGAAAAAAGGGAAATTCCACATACACTGGTAATTAAATATAACCCTACAGTTATAAATCTTAACAGAGCTATTAAGAAACATTGGCAGATTTTGCAAAGAGATGAATATTGTAAAACAATATTTAAACAGATGCCTATCATTGCGTATAAACGCAGTAAAAATTTAAAAGAGCACCTAGCAAAAACAAGACTTTTAAATAGGGAGATTTTTGAGAAGGGACCCTTGCTAAGTATGCAATAGAACTTAGCTAAAAAAATCCCGAAACTCCGTTAATTAATTATATATATATATATATATTTCTAGTAAAAAGGCAATTAGTCATTACGACTTTATAAAAACGGTGTCAAGTCTTGAGTTTTATGTATGTATGTTGGTGATGGGAATCTATGCATTTGTGGAAAGTTTCACCCAAATGTTTGTAAACTTACTCAAATAAGTGACAATATAAAATTCTTTTAAAGAATGAGATGAATTGATACTGATTATATAACATAATAAGTTGTTGAATATCGATATGACTTATTTAATTTTTATGTATATTTATAGACTTGCTCAAATGGGTTTATATTTGACTTGCACAGTAGGTTTTTAATGTTGACAATTACAATTTCGGGACTGGTTTTATATTTATGTTCCTCATTTAAACATTTTTAATGAGGTCAACTTTGTATGTTAAAATAGCTCTTATTTTATCATGTTTTCTAAAGGCCATCCCAAAAATTGCCAACCTATCAATTCTGTTCTGTTATATCAATATAACAGGCGAACATTAGATAGAATATGAATGTGCTTTATATTTAGTTTCTTTTTGCCTGTGCAATATCAGGGGAAATAAATCTTAATTGTTAACCGTTCGTGCAACGGTTACTTGCAACGATTGGTTGCAAGCATAATCGAGTACACACAACATTATTTGCTAAAAATAGGAAAAATATCCACGTCAAATTAATACCAAGTTGTAGCTAAAAATCCTCCAAGTTCTTTTGATAATGGTTCATAAAACATACGTTGACATTAAGGGCATATATGAATTATTTTCAAAAGTTCAATGACGGCTCCCAGTTCGTACTACGGATGGTACGGTAGCAAATCGGAAAACATCTTACAGAAATGTCCAATAAAATGACATACGTACGAAACTCGACGTACAGACCTAATGGGAGTGTTTATTGCCAACACTGAACTTGATAAATACGTCGCTCCAATGTATTCCAAGACTTTTTCGTTCATATTTAATAATTTTAACAAGGTGAAAAATTAGAGAAATCGTGCATTTTTACTAATCACGTGACTCTAGATTCCCACCTTAATTTCCACTGACATAAGATCACGTATAAACACACGTATCCCTTACCTATCATACGATCGATTTGAGTTATATTTCATGGTTTTGATTATAACAATTGTTTTTCAATATATTTTGCAGATGAACGCTCCATCATTCTATATTTTACACGCTTATTTTTTTCTCTCGTTATGCGATGTACTTTCTTTATCTATCCACCTATTTATTTATTTAATATATTATTTGAGGGAAAAATTTATTAGAAAGATAGTTTTCTGACAATTTCAGAAATGTCAAAATCAGCGTTTGTCAGAATACCGCCAGATCCAGATGCGGATCCTGGAATTTGTAAAGGGGGTTGGGGGTTGGGGGGTTGGGGGGGGGGGGGGGGGGGGGGGGGCGTACAAAATGTGTAGTGGAACTGGTAAATAGTCTGGATTAACCATATATAAAGATCCATAAGGGGGGCCCGGGCACCCCTATATCCGCCCCTGATCGCGTCCATTTAATTTCTAAATAAAATTATTTTCTATTTATCATAAAACGTACAGAGAAACTTCCCTGTATAGGTTGTATTTTAAAAGGTGTGATCGATTAAGGATTGTTTGGCGAAGTTTTGTTTAACGGGAATGCTATACGAGTCCAAATACAAAAGACATTTCCAGGCAAAATATTCTATATCCCTTGAAGTACGTTAACTTATAGTGTTTTACTGCATAAATCATTGAAGTGAAAGTGTTAGGTAAGAAACATAGAATGACATAAGATTATAAGATTTCGAAAAAAAAGGGTTTTGATCAGGACATGTCTATAACGGAATACTGTGCATTAAACTATTAACCAGCAGTTTTGTTTTTAGTTTTTTAAAGACAGGATCTTTGTACCAGTGTGTGACCAATCAAGAGTATGGTCGCCTAAACTACTTCCCTTTGGGGAATGGGTGGTTCGTTTAGCATTGCTGGGTGTACTAGTATATATTCTATACAAGACCCTATTCAACAGTATTACCCATGCTTAGAAAGGTGGTCCGTTTGGTTGTCTTGGATGTATAAATACGCAGCCACGTTCAGTCTGAATAGGGACATTCTATCAAATATAGGGAAAGTGCAATTATTAGCTCTACACGTTACAGAATAAATAAAACAGGGATCTATAGAGGGACTGTTACAAGGCTAAATGTGTTTCCCTTTTTAACATGCTCTCATTTTCCAGTTGCAGTTGAAATTCATAATGTTATCCTGGTCGACCCAGTTTACATATTATTGAATTGTTTTGTTTTTATTTGTTCTGAATATGCATGCAGCTTTTGTCACTTGATGTTATACAAGCAATCAATCAATTAATCAAACCTGTTTGAAATTCGATTTTTTTTTGCTTTTGTAAACGCTGAAAAGTTTTTTGTGATTCTGATTTGCTATTAACCGTCAACTCGCTATTGACATTTTGGTCCTTTAACCAAGTTGAGGCTTTGACTGCCAAGGTTCATATCATTTGCCTGATTAGAAATAAAATTCGAGTTACGCTACTGGCGATCCGAGCACGCTACCACAAGACTAAAGAGGCGGTTATGAATATACAAGATACACATATAGATATGCATGTATATTCAAAACATTTGAAACAAGAATATGTGGCATTAGCTAAGAGATATAAAAAAAAACCGAGATATAAAAAAAATCAACATATGTTCAAGCATTAATGAAAGTGAAATAGTGAAACAATAATTCGCTTTTAGCAGCCAATTTGGTTCAATTTTGTCAAAATAAGCTAAAAAACATAGCTGATGAATTATCAACCTGCTGGTGAATAATTCGACCTCATTGAATCCGTATTCATGTGACCTTCAATTTAACCTCTTAGCTGGAGATGGTTTACGCATGTATTCAGGTATTAAAAGTAAAAGAATGTTAACATTGAAAGTGAAACAAGGACTAACCATTTGGTTGACTAAAACGATCCACGAGAAAATCACTCTTATACAGGTAGAAACGATGATAAACATACTTTTTAACTTACAATATGAAATTGGACAGACCTAAAATAATGTAATTGCACGTGGTCGCTATCTATTTATATTTATATTGATATTTATATCGGGTTATATGACCGTCGGCAGTCTTCAGAGGTCATGTAGATAAACACGAAATGTTGATACATATTATCGAGTTCATGCATTTCTTATTGTTTACTTTAGTCTTTTTGTAATTTGGATATACGTTCCAGTATGTTATAGATCAAATATGAGAATTTGAGTCAAATCGGTGAACATGAATTTGACAGCTAATGCCCCTTCAACACACCGTGTCCCCTCATTTTCATGTTCAGTGAACCACTAAATCCGGGTATATAATTTTAAAGGTTTTTATATTTGGAATGAATGGGACGGACGAACGGAAAGACGCACAGACCAGAAAATTTAACATTTCCTTGGTATCATAAGTTGGTCAAAAAGCGAAGGGGATCATCCTTCTTAACAAAACTGCAACCAAATATTCCATGCACGTCCGTTTTTCATATGTATTTGCATAAGTTGAACGCAAAACATTTCACAAAAACAATTTGTGAGTAATGACGCTAAACGCATACATTTGTACAGACTCTTCCTCATGTTCCTAGAACACATGCATCATTATCGTAAAGCCAAGAATTAAAAATAATAACTGATTAAATTTAAGTGTAATTTTATTTTTTCTTGAAGATGCAATCCTAATCAATACCATTTGAAAATATTCTACGGAAAGACGAAAAATTATTATGTACTAGGTGCATCAGTGATCTCAATTTCTACTTCTGGCAAAAGTATCTTGAAATGAATTATCGAAGTATGATTAAAAAGTATGTCATGTACACCTTTTACATTCCGGCGTGTTTGTAACTCCTGATTAAACTGTTTAACTTATAAATCAAAAATAAGAATATAATCTCGCTTCAGATTTGATAGTTTTTATTTTTTCAAGATCAATTTTGATTTAGTAGTTTTAAGAATTCACCCTTTGAGAAATAAATATATGGGTCATGTGAAATGACGAAGCAATGATCGGTGCATTTGATTACCGGTAACTGGATTAATTATTCCCTCAAAAGTTGTTGTCAATAAAATTATCCCGAATTTAATATATAAAGAATTAAAATAGCAGATTGGGGTAATTTTTAAATAGGATCATTTCCAACAAAGTATGTGTATTTAACGAGCCAAATATCCATGCAGTCTTTGCTCCCGTCGTCATGCTTCAATGCAATAGGCCAAAATACTTTCAGATAGGTTGGTTATTTCGAGTAGTGTCATTTTATTGGAAATCTCTAGTACGAGATATCTCTCCTTAACAACTTAACATTTTATTCACGTTTTAAGAACGTAAAGAAAGGCTTTACCTGGCATGAATTTGGTTGCAATCTTCATCTGTGATTCTCTCAATCTTAAGAAGTCCGGAACTTCAGTACATTTGTGTGGGGTTGTTGGTTTCTCCCGCATTCTGTTTTGTTTTTCTATTAAACCTATTAGCTCAGATGCAGTATAATGTTTCAACCATTTCTTTTGACACCTACATTGAATAAAAATCAGACAGATTTGAAAGTTCAAGTCAATTAGATCTTTAAAATGGCACTATTTGGGCTCAATATTATGCAGTATAAAAAAAAACTATTTGTTATTTTCTTTTACGCACACACAAATAAGTATTCGGCAAACAGGGATGGAATGAGCTATTATCTCATTAAAGATGGTTAAATGTAACATATTTAGACTTTAATTGAAAATAAAGATAAAGGAATAAATTCTCGTGAGTTAGAAGATTTTTTTTTATAAAATTCGCATTATTCGTTATTAAATTCCAACTGTAAAACATCCCATAAATTCTGATAAACTTGAAATATATTATATTGTAAATTTACTTAAATATGAATCAATTTTCAGATCTAAGTAATTCAGTAATTTCTGAAAAACTTGTAGTAGAATTTGCCTTAAATTACAAGTATATTTCTAAACTTAAGTAGAAATGAATTTATTGAAAAAATAAATGTTAGTAAACGCATGCGTTCATGCAGTGTAATCTGAAATGCATTACTCGGCATAGCATGCTTCCTTAAAGCTAGACTCTGTGTAAAAAATATAAGTATTTGGCAAATTCATCAAACTATAAAGCATTGTCAGATGAAGCTTTATTCTAATTTTAAAAGTTCTGATTTGTAGTTCCCTCGATCAAAATGTAAAGTGACGGATGGACAAAACCTCGTCGGACGTAAATATAGACACCGATGTTCAAAAACCAGTTTACCCCTGCTGTCGCAGTGGGGGGTAAAATAATTACAAAGTAAAAATATTTAAACATTTAGTGGCAATGGAGAAATTGAGAATCCTAGCAATGTTGTTGATTACATTTGGCAAATTAGAGATAAGCATCCAAAATAATTCGGTGTGTGCGGTAAGGACCTCAAACGGAACCATTCATTAATAAATGGTTTAAATCAAATTACCTGTTCTTAAGATTTGCTACAGTCTCTGCAATATAAAACTTAAGTTCTCCATTTGAGTCCATAGGGGTATGCAAAGTTAACAAATTTAACAATAATACCTACAAACATTAACGGTACCACTTTAGCTGCATCGGATGTACATTTCTACAATAGTTTTCCATTCAGAGATGCCCGAAGCCAAAATATTAGAAAATCCAAAACACAATTTCGAAGAGCTCAAATAACCAAACAGGACCAAAATTTATGGTCTGATCGGGACAAATAACTTACGAAGAATCGTCTTATCATACATACTCGTATTTGTTTTCTACGTATATATATATACTCTCGATTGTATTTCACAGGATTGTTTTTTAATTTTTATCAGAAATAGGCCTTAAAATAGTTTTCTGTTCCGTAAAAAATATTACGACATGCTTAGCAGAATAGCAGCAATCGTATTTTGGAGTACATAGGTTCAACCTCTCAGAATATGAAATTCCCACACTATTATGCGATTTGCTCACGTATGTTTTGTCAGATTGTACATTTAGTGAAACAGATTAGGTAGTTAGAATATCTGGAACTTTTGATGAATAATAAAACAATATATTTCACAGTTTTTTTCTCAGTTGAATTGAATATTTTTTTATTCTTGTTATTATATCAAAAAACTACATAATGAAAATTTGCAGACTGATGAATGGCTGTGTCTCAATAATTATATTAGACGACATTGACTTCTGATAAGTTTTTCGTCTGTAACTGCATTAGTTTAAATGACCCTACCATCATTGATATCAAATAGAGTTTATCTTCTCCTAATGTAGACGACTGTAAAAGATTGATGACAAATTTGACCAATAACAATACTGTTGAAAAGTATTTTTATCTGCTTTTGAAAAAGGCATATTGTAACATTTGCTGCAAAGTTGACAGCAATCAACTATTGGCATCCCTTTTTTTTGTATACACAGTACTCACTGTCTCCAATAATGATAAAGTACTGGAAAAATCAAGATAAAGGCATCGTGGAAAAGTCCTCTTGTTGCTCCTTCATTTTCTAGTGATGAGATTATAGTTTGTGCTAATTCTTCTGGAATATTAAGCTAAAACGGAAATTATTGTAAGATCCAAATAACCCAAATGAAAAACGAAAATGGAAAAGAATCTTTGATGATAAGAACATATATAAAACAAAAGTTAAAATATTAAAATGTCTTCTCTCCTGCAATGTTATATATTTATTACGAGCATTTACCTCTTCAAATGAATTCAAATCATTGTTAAATGTAATCTGCAAGGTTCCAATATTCAGGAACAGAATTATAATATAACATGCAACTTAATATGAAATTAACATAGTTTCAGAAAAATCACTAGTACACCTAATCCCGAACTTATTTTAAAAGTGAAAACTCATGATCATGATGGGTTATTCATGAAAGTTGAAATTTTTAGTAGAACCATTCATTGTTTAATTGATACTGGGGGCATCTATGAGTGTTTTAAACCCCAAAATTTTTGATAGTTTACCTGAGCATTGTAAAACCAAATTACAACCATATGAAAATAACTTGAAAATGGCAAACGGGCATAATGTTAGACCATTAGGTACCATTAAGTTACCATTATTAATAGACAATCAGTACATATACCAAATTTGTGTGGTTGCTGATATTGACATACCTGTTGTACTAGGATATGATTTCATGTATAACAATCAATGTGTAATTGATGTACCAAATAACAATCTTTTATTGAATAGTCAAAATGTGGACTGTCATTTAGAGAGTCAAATACCTAGTTTGTTTAAAATATCAATTGATAAGCAAGTGACAATTCCTTCTCATAGTAAAACCATTATTCATGCACTACCAAATGAGAAACTACCTTATGGTACAACCATGATTCTTGATAATACCAGTCAGTCTTTTAAGAACAAGGGTGTCCTTATTGCAAAATCTATTTGCACTTTCAAGGGAGATGATTTACCTTTAAGAGTCATGAAAATGACTGATTTGCCCCAGACCTTATATAAAAATACTTATTCTGGTACAGCTGAAACTGTGTGTTCAGAAAACATTCTGGGAAATATAAATGCAGAACCTGATTTAGTTTTACCTGAACATATGCAAGTTGTGATTGAAAAATGTAAAAGTAACCTTAAGGTGGATCAATGCAAAATTGTAGTTGACCTTTTAACTAAATACTCTGGAGCCTTTGCAATGTCCAAAAATGACCTGGTAAGGACAGACATAATACAACATAAAATAAATACAGGAGATGCTCATCCTATAAAACAAAACCCACGACGTGTACCTTTAGCTCAAAGGAAGGAAGTTGATGAAGAAATTCAACGAATGCTTGAGGGGGGTATTATACGTCATTCCCAGTCACCATGGAGCTCCCCTATTGTAGTTGTTCGCAAGCGAGACCAGTCAATTCGCCTGTGCATAGATTTTCGCTTGGTCAACGAAATGACTATTAAAGATAATTTTCCTTTGCCGAGAATAGAGGACTGCCTTGACGCTCTAAGGGGAAACCAATGGTTCAGTACTCTCGATTTGGCTAGTGGTTATCACCAAGTAGGCATGGACCCTCAAGATGCGGCTCAAACAGCTTTTGTTACCAGTAAAGGCCTTTTTGAATTTAATCGTATGCCTTTTGGTCTGTGTAACGCTGGTGCCACCTTTTCCAGACTTGTGCAATATATTTTATCTGGGTTACAATGGGAAATTTGTGTAATCTACCTAGATGACATAATTGTGTTTTCTAAATCATTTGAAGAGCACGTTACCAGGCTCCAAGAAGTTTTTGATAGAATTCAGTTGGCTGGGTTGAAAATTGCTCCTAAAAAGTGTTATATTTTTCAAAAGAAAGTATCATTTTTGGGACATGTCGTGAACGCAGAGGGTGTTTCACCAGATCCAATAAAAATAGAGGCTGTACAGTCATGGCCCATGCCAACCAATGTTAAGGACGTTAGAAGTTTTCTTGGAACCTGTTCTTACTTTTTTTAAGATTTTTCAAAAATAGCCCGACCCTTACATAGACTTACAGAAAAGAATGTGATTTTTAAACGGAATGTTGAATGTGAAACAGCCCTCAATATTCTGAAAAAGGCACTTATGACTAGCCCAATTCTAACATATCCTTGTATTGAAAAGGAATTTATTTTAGATACCGATGCCAGTGGCACAAGAGTGGGGGCAGTTTAATCCCAAATCAACGATGAAGGCAAAGAGTGTGTTATTGCGTATTTTAGTCGTACTTTATCAAAAACTGAACGACAATATTGTGTTACTAGAAGGGAATTGTTGGCTATTGTTCTAGCGGTGAAACATTTTCATCATTATTTGTACGGGGTCAAATTCACTGTGAGAACTGACCATGGAGCCCTTAACTGGCTCAAGAATTTTAAGAACCGTGAAGGTTAACTAGCCCGTTGGCTAGAAATATTAGGAACCTATACTTTCATTATAAAACACCGTGCTGGTTTAAAGCATGGAAATGCTGATGGTCTATCAAGAAGACAATGTGTTAATTGTAAACACTGTGATACCAGAGATGTGACTGAAGTTAGTTATCAAATTGAAAATCCAACAATAAGGTCAATTAATATGTTGGATGAAAATGAAACTGAAGATACCCCTATTACTACCAATTGGTTTAACAATAAGACCCCTGAAGAATTTAAACAAGCCCAATGAAATGACCCTGTTGTTTCTAGAGTTATGACTTGGAAAAAGTCATCAGAAAAACCAAAGTGGCCAGAAATTTCTCATCTTAGTCAACACCATAAAACCTATTTGAGTCAATGGGATAGACTAACAGTTGTCAATGGAATACTTAATAGAACGTGGGAAAATACCACAACCAATGATATAAATTTACAATATGTTTTACCAAGTGCAGATAGAAACCGTGTGTTGCTACTGTTACATAATGATCAGTTAGTGGGGCGTTTAGGATTTTTAAAAGCGTACTATAGCCAGAATTAGGCAAAGGTTTTATCGGGCTGGGTATACCAGTTTTGTAAAAAGGTGGTGTAAGCGTTGCACTGAGTGTCAGAAAAGGAACCAGCCTTCCCATCATACCAGGAGACAAATGAAAACATATATTGTTGGGGTACCTTTGGAAAGGGTATCTCTTGATTTTTTAGGTCCAGTGACCCGAACCTATAAGGGCAATAAATATGTCATTGTTGTGACAGATTATTTTACAAGGTATGCTGAAGCATATGGGGTACCTGATATTGAAGCCCAAACTGTAGCAGTTACGCTGCTGGAAGAATTTATATGCCGTTATGGTCTCCCACTACAAATACATACTGATCAGGGATCTCAATTTACCTCTGATTTGTTTATTCAATTGTGCAATAAATTACATATTGACAAGACCAGGAATAGTCCATTTCATCCCCAAAGTTCAGGATAAGTGCAAAGATTAATTCGAACAATCGAGGACATGATAAGTAAATTTGTGCCTAAACACCAGAAGGACTGGGACCAATATTTACCCTATCTAATGATGGCCTATAGATCATTAGTTCATGAAACCTTGGAGAAACGCCATGTTTCATGATGATGGGCAGGGAAGTGAGGCTGCCAATAGATTTAATTTATGGGGGGGGGGGGGGGGGGGGGCTTGTGGAATTAAACTTAATAAATATAGTGTAACCAATAGAAAAGATCCATGAAGTAGTTAGAGACCGCCTTGTTAGTGCAAGTGAGCGACATAAGAGGCGTTATGATCTCTCTTGTACTTTTCCCACATTTAAAGTAGGAGATGAAGTACTCCTACATGACCCCAGGAAATATAAAGGACGTTCACCCAAATTTCAAATGCGGTGGTCCGGCCCCTTTACTGTTATTAAAGTGCTTTCAGATGTTTTATATAAAATAAAATTCAGGAAGGCCCAAAAATGAAATTTAAAGCGGTTCATGTGAACAGACTTAAACTTTTTCAAGTAAATATGAAAAGATGGTATCAATCGTTTGGGGAACCAGCCCAAAATACCAGACTTCAAGTCAAGAATAAACTAGACAGAGAACAGACAGACCATGACTGATATTGTTATAATATAGATATGTTTATTATTACCAGTAATTTGAGTGATATTCAATGTGGTATAAATTGTTATATTTATTGTTATATGTGTGTGTATATTTAATTGTTTTACACGAGATAAAAATCAACCTTGGTAGCAGGCCTTTCAATAACTTTCACTGGTAATTGTGAAACTGCAATGGTAACCTGCAATACTTGATAGCTGGACTGAGCAGTCTAAGACACTGGTTTCTTATTCTTAATAAGATAAAATATAACAAAAAACAGTTTTAAGTTTAACAATGACTATTTAATCAGTCATAATTCAATATACATATGTGTATAAATAAATAACCCCAGGGCGAAAACAGTACAGAGACCCCACTTGGACGTTATTCGTCGTGCGTAAACATGGGAAAAGTTGTAGTATTATAGTAAATAATCTAGGTCACTTGGTCAGGTCATAAATATATATATATAATCGGGGTAAACATTAACCTGGTAATGGTTTGAAGATGATGGTTCACAGGTGGTTCGCTTTGGTTTTATGGTATGTGGAACAAAAATGGTCAAGGTTCCTTGAGCTGTGAACTAACTGGAATCGTCTGCTACAACCGTTTATATAGTACCGGAAGTCCGTGGACACAGAAAGTGTGTCCGTTACTATAGGGATAAGTGTGTCCGGCGAAATAACGTAGTGATTGGTTATTAAATCACATATACATAGTAAAAGCTGGGAACATGTTAAGGTTTACCTGAATATTAATGAAGTGACAACCTTTAATTTCGATTGAAACATATATTTATGAATACCAAAAGTTATATTTGTTTGTTGTTGTAATTCTTTTTCTGTGTTGTACTCCCCAGGTAAAAATAATAGTCCTTGAAACATGTGTTTTCATTTGGAACTTTCACAGTGGGTCAAGTTTAAGAATTAGAGAATTTACATTACGATTGGTAATGGCATTTGGTAATCTCTTATGGTTAAATAAGAGAAATTCACTCATCTTCGATTGGGTGATGGCTAATCACCGGACATGACCCATCAACATATTTTGCCAAGAGTAACACGAGTGGTGTCACTAGTGAATCCGGAACTGCTGACGTTCAGGAGCACCTTGTTCCAAACTTGGTAATTGGTTGTGTTGTGCTACGTGGACTGTTGTGTGTCTTTTTGTCGTTTTTTTTCACCTTGGTGTTGTAAGACTTATGACTATTGATTGCCCCCTTTGTTTTCGACTCCCTCTTTTAATACCACTCCTTAAATGATAATACATTTGTGTATCACAATTTGAAGCATCTAGAAATCCGTTATGTATAATATTAACTACAAATACCTGGTTTTGAGGAAGTATGTCGGAAATTAAAAAGCAGTTGACCATTTCTCTAGCTTTATCATTTAAAAAGTCCATGCTCTCCTGTGATATGTTTTCAAGTGATTGGATATGATCCACCTGTCCAACATACCTGTAACATTAATAATATCAAACTGTTAGCGATTTCAACAAGACCAATACCGTGTCAAAATCTGCATCGCTGCAAGCAATTAATTGCGGGAACTTGCTATTGAATCATAACTAAACGTTCCATAATATCATTGAATCCAAGAAAACTTTGAAGAAACATTTCCTTGTAAAATGAGTGTTGTAAAAATGCCAAAAAATGAAAAACATGTAGTGGATGCATGTCAAATGTGAAAATTGCTCACACGCTCCAAATAAACATTAATCATCTGCAGACCAAATATAAAAGCATTCTCTTCTATAGAAGCCAAACAGTGGATGCAAGGTGGATGTAAAAATTGCTTACACGCAACCCACTATCAAGCTGCGGACCATAACATTACTCCCTTTCACAGAAGCCAAGAAAACTTTGAAGGTTTCCTAAATATGGTATTTCGGATGGAAGGACGAACGAACGAACGGAGTCGAGCGGTTATTAGAACTGCTTGGCGACGCAGGTAAAAACGAAATTCTAAATTGACAAATGATGAAATAGTTTTATTATTTTCTTACTGTTTTATGATTCCAATCAACAACATCAATTTGTTTCTCTTTTTTTTTTTATTTATAATAAAGGTCAATATAGAATTTCGTTTACAATATATGGATAATTTATAACTAAATGAGTGCAGACAAAATAAAAATAAAGAAAAATCAGCTCACTTTGTAACTTCACCAAAAAATCTCAAATCACTCGGCAATTTATCCAAAATAACAAGTCTGTTCTTCAATAGAATCCGAGCTTCAAACTTGGCATTAGACGGATTAACTATGGCTTTGTCAGCTTCATCTTCTGTAAAGATTTAAAATCTTACAGTTCATTTGTTTATATTTCATTGTACTTAAAATACTAAAAAAAAACAAATAAACCCTCATGATGAAATACTTCAGAAATACGAACAGTTTACTAGACTTTTTTGTACCAAACGTTATTTCAAATGTCTTGCAAAATCAGAAGCAGGTATGATAATGACACTTGTTTCACCCCTTGGATTCGAAAATCAATGATCAACAAAAATATTTTACTATTCATAAGACATCAGGATGTCAGTTAAAAGAATTCATATTTTTGAATTTTGTTTACTTACATATTTGTATTTGGGCTAAAACTTCAAGCATTTAATGTAAAGCTGTAAAAACTGGTGAAACCACAAGTGACATTTCTACACTAAAGCGTCAAGACTATATTATCATATTCATTATCAACAAAATATACCTTAAGTTGAAAAACTTGATTTTTTTTTTACTATTATGCAATTTCAGTTGTTGTCTTAACCAATCTATTGTAAGGAATACAAGAGGATCACTTTCGCATTTTTTTTACTGAAACTCTTATTATTTCACACATAGAAAATGTCGATGTTCTGCAAAAGTAATAAGAAATACAAGAGGGCCATTTGGAAAGAAAAACACACACTAACAAAAACTTAATTTTTTTACTGAAACTCATTTTATTACATATACTACCAAAACCAGAAGATTTGCTTCATAGCTAAATCTCCCACTTGTAGGACAGCTGTTTACACATTGTTGTCAATGTAATAGAATTCTATGCGACTGTCATACAAGTGAGGGGTTTAACTAACTCTTAAACCAGGTTTAATCCCCATTTTCAACATGAGGAAATGCCTGTACCTAGTCAGCAATACGACAGTTGTTTTCAAATCATTTGATGTGTTTGAGCTTTTGATTTTGCAATTTAAAAGGTTTTTGAATTATCCTTGGAGTTCGGTATTTTTGTTATTTTACTTTTTTGTTATAGTTCCATTATATTGCCAACATTGGTTGAGCAACACAAAGATACATAGTTGATTAACTTGACAATAAGTGGGATCCAGCAGACAATTCTGTGTAAACATACATCACAGATATACAACACAATTGACTTTAAACACAGTTATGTGGAAAAACGACTGAATTTGACAATACATGACGTTTACGGTTGACCGATACGATATGTTTTTGTTTCAACTAGCAAGCGACATTAACAGTCTTTAGATAACAGAATATAATCTGTAATAATATCAATTGTGTCCTATCCCCGATTGTGACATTTTGCCTGAACGGATTCACATTGCGGATGATGCAGAAGATGCTTACCCTGTCGACGACGCTTCCGAACTCGCTCGTTTTGGAGTATATTCGATTATCTCAGTATGTTTTTGTTAACTTTATTTATCTTCTTAACCGATTTTATGAGATTTGAACATAAGTAAACAACTTGTTGCCTTTATTTATTGCGTACATAGAGGTTTCCTACATTATAGATTTATTTTCTTTGAATACGACTGTGGCCATCGGTATGTTACAGATATAGAAATTGTTACTCACTGAACAGAGCTTGATATTGCTTCAATTGTCGTATCAATGCCTTTTGAATTTGCTTTTTCAAAAATAAGTGAAGTAGTTTGATCTCATCTTCTTCTCTTATAGACTTCAGGAAACCCATGATAGTTGACACAAATCTCTGCCACAAAACAAGCTAAAATGATTAAATGCTCTTGTTAAAACGTTTAAACCCGCTGCATTTGTTTGCACCTATCCTAAGTCAGGAACCTGTTTCAGTGGTTGTCGTTTGTTGATATGGTTCTTAAGTGTTTCTCATTTCTCGTTTTTTATATAGATTAGAAAGTTGGTTTTCCTGTTTGAATTGTTTTACACTGGTCATTTTGGGGCCCTTTATTGCTTGTTGTTCTGTGTGAGCCAAGGCTCCGTGTTGAAGGCCGTACTTAGATCTATAATTGTTTACTTTTTACACATTGTGACTTGGATGGAGAGTTGTCTCATTGGCACTCATACCACATCTTATTTCTATTAAGTGAGGTGACATACAATGAAATGTAATTTGTTAATGTTTGCCTTCTGTGATATATTCCTCTATGTGGGTGGCCGTTATTTAGACATTGATTACGTAAATAAGTAGGGTAAATTATTTTTTCTCTGAAGCATACAGAAGAAGACCGATTTTCGTTAATATGAAACATTGAAATATATGCCATGAAAGTAACACTGTTATCACCAATGTCTATTTCTAAACATTAACTGAAAAATGGAATTTGTGGCAACAACTCAAACTTAACATTCAAGCTTCATAAGGATCGTTATATAATACGCTAAAAGATACCGTTTTTTGTTTCTTTTTCTTTTTTGGTTTTTCTTCTATCCTCTCTAAGTCTTCAGCACCAAGGCCTTGGATTTCCGGCACCTCATCGCCAGGATCTGGGGGGTACGTTTCTAAATACTTAGGATACCTATGAAAACAATAAACATGTAACAGATTTGTATAAATGAAGAATTTAGATTTGATACATATCAATTTCACGGCAGATCTCTAGGCGGACTCGGACATTATTTAGTATAATCCTTCAGCAAATATACCAGGCTAAACATTTAATACGTAAGACGCACGTTTCTTCTACATAAGATATGTCAATTTGAAGAGCATACACTTGTACAAGGGTGGACACATTGACATGTCTCATAAATTAATTTATGTTAAAAGTCTTTAAGATAATGGTTTGACTACAAGTCTCAAATAAATTAACAACACCAATGATCCATGTAAATGAGCTCAAGGTCAAACGAACCGTGCCAGACGGACATATACACCATATAAATACCAAATATAGCTAACCTATTACTTACAGTATCTAAGATAGTCAAACTACGATAACTAAATGTTGATAAAAAAAAACGTGTAAAAGACATGTAAATCTAATTCGGTAGGTCACATTCGATGAAAATATTTGGAACTTGTACCTGATTTGTCATTGAACACTTTTATCCTAGCATTTAGACGTTTTATCAGTCGAAAAGGAACACCACAAACTATTTATTCCGATAACGCACCTACATTTGTAGCCGCATCAAATGCACTTCAAAGTCAGCTGAATCTGCATATCAACTGGAAATTCATTCCGAAAGGAGCGCCGTGGTATGGTGGATGGTGGGAACGTCTAATTGGCTTAACGAAAATGACATTAAAGAAAGTTTTTGGTAAGGCACTCGTCCGCGAACAATCTTTGACAACAATACTCACTGAGATTGAAACTATAATAAACAATCGCCCACTACATATATATCTTCAGATATAAGAGATCCCTAACCATTGACGCCATCTCATCTTTTACATGGAAGGATTATTACGACGACAGAGATGCACAGCGACAAGCACAACACGAATATTCAAGAATTTGATACCATCACAGCCAACAAACAATTTGAGAGAAAAGGACTTTTATTAGACCATTTCGCAAATCGCTGGTCTAACGAATATCTTAATGGATTACGTGAATATCATCGAGCCTCCGGAAAATATAATGGACAAGTTAACATCGGAGATGTAGTTCAATTGGGAAGTGAATCAGCACGACTTTTATGGAGATTAGGAACAATAGAAGACGTCATCAAAGGAGGAGATGGACTTATTCGAGTAGCAAAAGTACGGACGTCTAGAGGACTAGTTACCACACGACCAATTGTGAAGTTATATCCGTTAGAACTATAGTAACTGTTTAAGGATTTTTGTGAAGGACAGTTAACGTAAAGTGAAATTACAAAAACTTTCAATGGGATCTATTTATAGAACTTGTATAGTTTTGATTATTTATCATTTTAAAATAATTTTATTTCTTATGCATTTTGAGGCCCCCAGAATGTCGTGAATATAGGCCAAGAGACTTTAGTCCGTTATGTTATGTAATTGTTTCCCGTACTTTAGCGCACACTTTTGTAATGTAACGTAACGCTATTGTTACGTATCTATTTATCTTACGAACCATAAAGCATCTCAACTAGCAAGACGTTATTTTCTTTCACAAGTCTAACAAAGTTAATAGCCCTCAAGATATTGGGATTGTGGTTAGGACAATTGGAATATATCCGTCGTCATCTGTGACAGATATTTCATATCGGTCAATCAACTCGTAATGTCGAAGGAACGATTTCAACTTCACCACTTGGCGCTCGGTTCAATAGATTCCTAGTAAGTAACAACCCTCTATCAAGAAAAACGTGTTAGAAAATGAAAGCTCTGGAATATTGTATAATCTGGGAAATATTAGTATATACTCCATAGGCAGGCGCTGCTGGAATGTTGCTACGCAGAAATGGAAAGTTCACAATTGGAAAGTTGATATCATCTCATTAGTCGTGAATTTTTTTTGTTCTCAACCGACCTTCATTGTCAATTTCGAAAAATATTTAGCGAGAGGACATCACCTTTAAAGCGCAACGTGAAGTTAAATAATCATGCTAGCTTCTTTTCATTCTTCCTTAGAAGATCATTTATGAAGTCAGCCTCATATGAATAAAGGAACAAGTCGGCCAGAAGAGGAGCACAGTTGGTTCCCATGGAAATGTCGATAGTTTGTTGAAAAAAAACACGTCCTCAAAACGTAACATATATGTTGTCAATCAGGAAATCAAAAACGTAACAAATATGTTGTCAATCAGGAAATCAAGCATCTTGATAATGTCAGTTTCAGAGATTTTTTGTTTGAATCAGAGTGATTATTTTACAGAATACGATTTATTCCTCCATAAGACAAGATACTTGTATTTACGTTGGCCATTCTTTTTTTATGAAACAAAGCAGGACCAATTTTTGCAATTTGTCTTTTAGTTCGTAATGGGGAATACTTGCGTAAAGGGAAGAAAAGTCAAATGTGTTAATACTATTGCAAGAGGAAAGAGACTTAGATTGCAGGTACTCCAAAAGATCTTAGGAATCATGAAGTATCCACATCTGATTCACGCCGCCCTTATTATTCAGCTTCACAATAACTTTGAAGCCCGGCTTTAATTGCTGATAAAATTGATGTTAATAAATTAGAAAGCGGTTTCGTGGAGCACTTGGAAGACCGAGCAATATAACTTTGTTTGTAATGACCCTTGCGTAATTTAAGCATCCAATACATTGAAGGAGGATCCAATTCGTTATCTTTGGTTGAAATTCCAAAGGAACATAGAAAACACCAAGGAAAATTCGTGAATCCTTCTTGGTAAGTGTCGATGGGTATATGTTGAGTTTCAAAGAGAATTTTCAATACCTAATTCAAAAAACATATCAAGCAGTTTATGTAATGTGATTCATAAACAAAAAAAAACATGTTGTTTGGGGCTTTATCTGCGGGGACAACAAAATATTTGGCATAGAGGTTGTACAGGTGTGTAAAATCTTAAAATGATGTCAAGGTCAGGGGATCTCTGCAAGAAAGACATTAACACCATGCCATACACTAGATATAAGTATCGTATGATACTTAGTAGGATTGTTTGTCATCACACGTAGTTGATTTTATTATATCTGCGAATAGGACGTAACGGAATCTTGATTGTAACACGGGTGGATATTAGATTTTTGAAAGGAGCGTAAAAAAAACTGAATACATACCGCCAATACTTTCGGACGAGTTTATGCAAAAAAATACATATTTACCGATCAAAGTGGAGCCTTTGCTGCAGTATGAAAAAAGATATCAGAAAAACAGACAGGGGACAGTTGGAAACTTCCTAACATGAGGCATATACATATAATGTATGAAGCATATTGCCTTTTCTATCTTCTGAAATATGAAGTTTTATAGAAATTGTTAACACCACCGTCGCCGCTGCCAGATTATCATCCTTTTGTCTGCCATTCTGACAAAATTTGTGCCTAATCCGACATGAAGAAGATATGCTCAGAGTAAAAGATATTATAAACAGATATATATGATTCATTTATTTTCGTTTTGCATTGTGATTACTAATTATGTCGGTAACTGCGAGAAAAAAACCGGTACAATAAATATAAATTAAGATTGCTACGCCATTGAGTAAGTGTTGAATAAATATTTCCGAATACATAAAATTCTTCCAAACACAAACACGTAAAGGAGTTGAGTTCACATTGTGTTACAGAAGTTAGAAAAAGGTTAAAGGCCCACAAATCAAGCACGAATGGGCAAATCAAAATAACAATACAGTAAGGGTAATTACATATTGTGGAATACAATCCTACCAAGTAATCTATGGGAAAACAGTCAAAAGGGAGCTGCGTTCGCAAGATGTCATTCTATTACAAAAGTAAAATTGTGTTACAATAGTATTGTCAGCTACACGCGTTGACAAATGATCTTACCAAATAAAAAACTTTTTATCAAAGGATGTGCGCTCACAATAAACTCATATAGGATTAAATTGTTTATGCCAACGAGCGTTTCGTCTATAAAAGACTCATCACTGACTCTCGAATGAAAAAGTAAGGCCAAACATAGTACGAAATTGAAGAGCATTTGGTAATTGCGTAACACTATTAAAATAAAATGGTAAAAGTCCCATCACTCTGGTACTGATTCTCAAATCAATGAGTAATATAGTCAACTACGTGTGATGACAAACAATCCTACTAAGTATCAAAAGAGATCAGAGGAGTTGTGTTCACACAAAGAGTCATTGAGTTATGATAGTATAGACACTTTATGTCAAACAGCTCAGCGGCGTTGTGTTTTCAAGGTAACATTATGTTACAATAGTAGAAACAAATGTTAAAGTCTTAAAACACTTCCAATAAGTAATTGTCAAATTAAAATACGGTAGAGTATTGTCAACTACACATGGTTTTAAACAATCCTAAAGTATCAAAGTTTTCTGGAAAACGGTTTTCGAAGAATTAAGCTAACAAGCTGTAATCGTGTTATTCTAGTACAATTGTCAAATTGAAATGGCGGTATAGTATGATATGGAAAATATGATGAAAAATACTCCTTGCAAGTATGAAAGCTGTTGCATACACGCTGTATGAGCATATGTATGCTAAGGAGGGAAAGAAAGACGAACGGATACAAACAATTATTGTATCCGCTTGGCGTGCGCCGAGTGACAAAACGTTTTTTTTTTTTTTATTTAATTAACTATCCCCCACTCCATCCTCGCTCCCAAAAAGACAAATAGATTCAATCATGATAACGTAAATTGTTAGATGTACCTTACGTAAGTTTTAATCTTACCACTTCATTTCCATAGATCTGTAGACACTAGCTTGGGCGCATTCTAGAACACTTATTGGAACCTTTTTCATGAATGGGATCTGTTTCATGATATCGTCATTACAGTCTAAAAAAGCACCTAAAAAGAATAATCGTCGAATAAATTATTAAAGAACTTTAATCTGCTATCGAATAACTACACAAAAAGAGGGACGAAAGATACCAGAGGGACAGTCAAACTCATAGATCGAAAACAAACTGACAACGCCATGGCCAAAAATAAAAAGACAAACAGACAAATAATAGTACAGATGACACAACATAGAAAACTAAAGACTAAGCAACACGAACCCCACCAAAAACTGGGGGTGATCTCAGGTGCTCCGGAAGGGTAAGCAGATCCTGCTCCACATGTGGCACCCGTCGAGTTGCTTATGTGTATGATGTCGATATGTAGAATATACATTTGTATTTGATCGAGTTATAATGAGTTTGAAATACTGTAAACCAACTTATTTTCGCGGATACATTATTTCGCGTTTAGCCCTTTTCAGCACTTTTCAGCCCAATTGCGGCAATTTAATTTTGCTATTTTAGAATTTACTTGATGTAATTGAATACGGAAAGATCCAAGTTTTTCGTTTTCGCAACGGTTTATATTCGCGTTATTTTTCTCCTCGCAAAAGTCGCGAAAATAAATAGCTCGCGAAAATTATAAGAAGTTGGTTACAGTAAGAAAATCTAGTCCATTAGAAAGTAGGCGTAATAATAAATTGATAATAATGATGATAACAAGAATATTGATATCTATAACTTAAACCTGTGGAATATTCTAATCCGAGTTTAATATAATGGTACATATGAAATTTTAATGTGTTTGGCAATTGAATTTGATAGATGAAATGAGTCAGCAACTCACTGACCGAAAAATCTAAACGACATGTAAAGTTCAACACACGGCCTTCAACAATAGACATGTGTTTTTATACAATATGCGAAGCTCTAAATACCCTTGACTGAACAGATATATGAACATGTGTAGGAGTTAGAGTCGGTTGTTCCCAAATCAGTTTAATCATGGTCACATAAACTGACCTAGTTACACACGTTAACATGTCAACTTTGCAAAATGGGGATATTTCTTACTGACTGAAAAGCGCGTTAAAACTCATCACTGCCAAGATGCTGACCAAATATGAAGTCATTTTGTTCGTTTTTACCTGTGAAATGTGTGACGGAAATATTTGTTGCATGAACGAACGGACAGAGAAGGTGATTGAAATATAGCTCTTAGAGTCAGGGCATAACTAACCTCTATATTATTGTATTATGCATAATTATTGGATATGATTCATTGACATATCTAAAGTGGAGTAAATCGGCGGCCGCTGGGTGTTATTAGCAGAGCGGGAACTGTTGACCCTTTTGAAGCACCAGAGATTACTCTCAGTTATTAATTACATTCGTGTTGCTTAATCTTTAGTCTATTTGTTTTGAGAACTATTCATCTGTTTTGTCATGATCTTATCTATTTTTTGACTTTTGTATTTTATAATCACCTTGGTATCTATTCATCCTTTTGTACTTATATCACTTGTTCTGGCTCACGAAAACTCTTTTAACTATTGCTATGCTTTGTTGTTGGTATTTATAAGTTTTAGAATTCGCAATGAAAAAGCAAGTAACATTTGATCTCATTTTGAAAACCGACAAATACGGGCCGGCCGAAATATCCAATTATTAAATTGTCCTAACAAAGTAAGAAACATACCAAATATATTTTTAAAACGCTTAACTTGACAACAACAATACAAATCAAATAACATGGGCATTTGTAAACGTCAAATCCTAAAGTCAAAAGGCAACATTTTCAATGAATTTGTTTTATCTGTTTCTCCATACAATTATTATTATCAGAGTCCGCCTAAAATAACTGTCTATTAACCGTGTTTTGCTTTCTTGCTAAAGTTTCTTCTTAAGATATTTCTGATCCTAATTTTTCGCCTCCGCCCAGCAGGCATATCTCGAAGTTCCTCGATACTTTTCCAGAATGCTAGAGGATGACGCGTTTTCTCTCCCATCATAAATCTTTTAAAGAAGTCATAATGAAGCTGAGAATGTAATACTTCTGAAAATGTTCTGAAAACAAAGACCAATAAAGAAGTATAACAAAATTACCGAACTCCAAAAACGAATTTACCTCAGTTTGGAATATCGTACTTACTTATTTCTAAATTTTGGTTTTAAATTCTAATTTCCTAGCCAAAGGCAATTGTCTCTGAAACAAGTTACCTTTACAACCTCGTGTTATATAAAGGTATATAGGTAAAAAAAAAAGAATTCATAGATAAGTCCCTGTGCTTCTAGCACAAAAAGAAGTTTATCAAAATTTATGGTTGCTTTCATCAAAAGGAATTTTTACCGTCATTTCCCCCAAATTTTCGCATAAATCAATGTTTTACACCAATGACCAATTTCACATACCATATTATACATATGTATCAATTTTCATTGAATCTTATCCCAAAAAGATGATTTTTATAGATTTGATTTGTTTTCCAAAAACTAAGTTTATGCTGCATTTTTTTCCCTTTCCCAAATTTTACACAAAACGATGCAGAACTCCATTTCATATGTATAAATACCTTGCATAAAATTATTGAACTCAGTTGAGACAATCTTGACCCTTCATTTGACATAGCAATAATGACAGTTGGACAAGACAGACGAAGTAATTGCTATTAGGCACCGCCAACTTGTTTATTTTTTTTTATATTTATGTAAGTTTTATTACTCAGTAGAGGAATCATAACTATCAATAACAGCATCTGACCTTTTAGCTTATTCAAGTCTTTCAAAGAGTTTTAATACTTCATTGAGAATTAACACAGCAATCATAATAAGCTGTGTCACAATATTTTTCAACAAGTACCTTTACGGTTGAAGTAGCAGAAAGAACCGAAACAAGAGTAGTTTTAAATTTAATGGATAAATGTGTTAAACGAAACCTATAAGCAAGCCAGTACTTCGGTATTGGCATGAAAATACGAATATTGTGTTATATTTTTGTCCTTTTAGGCGTAGAGACTCTTCATTTTTAAAATATATTATGGATTTTCAAATATTTTGGCTTCGATCATCACTGAAGAGACATTTATTGTCGAAATGTGCATCTGGTGCAGAAAACTTGGTACCGTTTATGTTTTAAGATGTCCTGTATAACTTTTATAGTTTTATAGTTGAAACATTGTAGTATTCAGTAACAGCTTTTCAGTTCAGTCTTTAAACTACCATATTATAAAAGGGTACCTGGTATCATTCAAATACTTTAGTAACTATATTATATAATTAAAAATGGGATATGTAAAATAAAAGCAGGGATCCCTCTGTCAGCTGCCCTGGACTGCTTAGGGTTTATTTATTCCAGGTGATTTGACATAAAATGATTTTTTGAAATCCTGGAAAAGAATAAAAGATTCTCTACCTGATAGCCAATGCAAATTAGATAGACACTTACTCTAAATTTGAGTCTACATTCCAGTTTGAAAAATATTTAGAAATAAGAAATAAGATAATCGGTGAATGCTATCTAAATTCAGAATAAGTAGTCATTTTCTAAGGGTAGAAACTGGAATACGTGAGAGAAAATACAACTCTCTTGGAAAATCAGGACCATTACCCAGATAAGAACGGCATTGTCAGTTCTTTGATTTATACCATGTACAGGACGAGGTAGATTTTTTTATTTCAATGGCCTAAATATAATCATAAAAAGACAAACTTTATTATCTCATGTTGATAAACAATTCCCCAATGTAAAATATCTAAGTACAAATAACTTGTTTATATGAATAATGCTAAATGAAGGCAACACATTTTTATCTTTATTATGTGTATTTTTATAGCTTAATTTTGCTGAAAGAAAACAGTATAATTGTATTGAATTATAATGATTATCTACTTGGTAAAAAAGAAAATGTTAACTATAACATTCAGAGTTATCTCTCTTTATTCACGTATTGGACCTACATATTTTATATGATGACTTTTATGTAGTGGAGTGACCAAACCAACAAATTTTCAACTTTAATTGGACCACCTTAACTGCAGGCTAAATTATGAATTTTCGTTTAGGGACATGTTTAAACTTTAAATTTTACCTGGTCGTAGAATCGAAAAATGGTTCAAATTTTCAAAATTTGAAGTCAAAGTTCGGAAGTTGAGTTTTTCATTAGTGTAATAAAAATTCACAAGGGGTTATAAAAAGTCATTTCTCCTTTAACGAAAGAGTAAACAACAGCAGTTCACTTTCGAGTCAATTTGAAAAAAAAAATGTAATCACCAAATGTCCATTTTTAGGGAAAATAGGGACAACAAGAAAAAGGCAAAGACAAAACAGGAAATGGCTTTCAACATTACATGTACATTTAAAGATGTATTTCTGGTTTTTATGCAGTTTCTTAAGAAAGAATCGAAGTTTATTTTGTTTAATTATATACCGGTTGCAAGCGGCAAATATTTCACTAAAAAACTGAATAAAATGGTTTAAATGAAGTAGTGATAGATAAACATATATTTTTTCTGTTGTGAACACTGAGATTGTATGGGCAGGAATTTTGACAACAGCAGCCTACTATGAACCCCATAGAAAGTGTTGATGCAAGTTAAGGGTACTTTAAATGCAAAGTGCACAACATTTTCAGAAAAACCGGGTTTCTCATTGTTCATCCCTGGTTTTAAACATTAAACAATGTCAAAGATGTAACCACCTTCCATGAGTTCTTCTGTAATATATGTATACGAAATAATTTTCCAATATTTCTGACATTACATAATTTGTTCAGACATGGTTTTCATTGTCGTCTTCTTCAGAAACTGCTTAGTGAGTAAGATGATTCATACATCCATCAAATCCTCCACACGATCAAATACGCGGACAAGCCGAACTCTGTGCTTTGCATACACACAACTTTTATTTCAAGCGCTTTACCCTTGCATGTAAAAACAACATCTTGAAGGAAATATGATAACATATGTCTCTGGAAGGAAACCGGTATGTGTTCTCAATTCTTCAAGCAAATGTGTGATCTTTATAAACAGTAAAGAAATCGTCAATGCTTTAAATGTGTTTGGATAAGACAAAACCTGAACTTCGACAGTCAAGGAATGCTGTCCATACTTTTGATACAATGCTTTTTATACAGTTTATGTTTCTCTATTAATTGAAAAATACTTTAAAAAAAGGAGCCATGAGAGCATCATAGGGCAGTATTAATTCTTGGACACTACGATTAAACTGTTCACAAATAAGAATATGCTTACTGTATTTCGAGCATAAACTACAGTCAACACATATGTCATCTAGCCCAGCTAAAGTTAATAACTTACTAACTGTTGCTATAAAAGAAAGATGAAAGCCCATGGCATTCTCATATTCTTGTAAAACGTCTGTCATAGACCATATTTCTTATAAGGCATCAGCAATGTGTGTTCTACTGTAATGTACTGTAATGACGCACAGTTTATAATTCGTTTGTGGTGTCCTGGTGTGCTGTCGTGGATTCATGGGAGGTGTCCGTTGTTGTTCTGTGGTTTACATGTTGTAATGTACTATTATATTATTTATTTATGTCCTGAGTGTTCTTGCGTTTATTTGTACTGTATTCCTGTCACGTAATGTTGTCATTTTAGCGATATTTGTAACATTAACATATAAGCGGGAGGTTTGGCTAGCCATAAAACCAGGTTCAACTCACCATTTTTTTTTTAAATGTCCTGTACCATGTCAGGATATGGCACTTGTTATCAAGTAGTCCGTTTCTATGTATGTTGGCGTTTGTTTTGTTGCAGGTCAGCGTTTCTGTTGTTCCGTTGTTTTCCTCTAATAGTTGACGTGTTTCCCTCGGTTTTGGTTTGTGACACGGATTTGTTTTCGCTTAATCGATTTATGACTATTGAACAGCAGTATACTACTGTTGCCTTTAATTAACAAAATCAGAGTGAGCGGAGTGAGGAAGGTCGGTATGCAAGTGTGAGTGATCGTGTCAAATTTTGTAATGCCCGAAAGGGCCCTGTGATTTGGAAAATAAAGACTTTGAATTTGAATTTGAATCTTATAAGTGTTTGTAGAACGCTACAAAATTGTGTAACAGAATGCGAATTCTGCTTAATATAGATAACTAGTTTTCTTCACATCACATACCATGGCTTCAATTCTACAAAATACTTACCCATTCCTTGAAATTTTATCAATATTTATATTATTCCTGCTAAATGAAGATACATTTTGTTGTAAATTTCAGCTTTCCTGCTAAATGAAGATACATTTTGTAGCAAATGTTAGCTTATGCTCAAATTCATCTTCAACACATATTAAAAAATAACCACTGTTTCAGGTTAGGGTGAAGGTTGGCGCCTGTTGAAACGTTTAAACCCGCTGCATTTTTATGCACCTGTCCTAAGTCAGGAGCCTGTTGTTCAGTGGTTGTCGTTTGTTGGTGTGGTTCATACGAGTTTCTCGTTTCTCGTTTTTTATATAGATTAGACCGTTGGTTTTCCTGTTTAAATTGTTTTACACTAGTCATTTTTGGGTCCTTCATAGCTTGCTGTTCGGTGGGAGCCAAGGCTCCGTGCTGAAGGCCGTACTTTGACCTATAATTGTTTACTTTTAACACTTTGACTTGGATGGATAGTTGTCTCATTGAAGGCCGTACTTTGACCTATAATTGTTTACTTTTTACACTTTGACTTGGATGGATAGTTGTCTCATTGGCACTCATACCGCATCTTCTTATTTATATTTAGCTATTATTTTATCCATCAGTTATATAGAAATGGGATATACAATGTTCCTTATTATGAATAGTTTTTATGAAGGTTATATAAAAATAAGACGATGCGGTATAATTGCCAATGAGACATCTCTCAACTAGAGACCAAATGCCGCAGAATTTAACAACTATCGATAACCGTACGGCCTTCAAAGTAGAAATCATACCCATACCCATATGTTTCTTTCATTTAGCTCCATGTTCTATAATTAATTACAATAAGGACCGCTTTATGCTGTCGGTCCTTTAAATACTCATAAAAAACAATACATTCCTATTATTGATAAGCCTTTCAATCAGTTGGTGCCCGACTACCGGACTCTAAAAATACCAACTAAATAAACAGTGATCAATTGATAAATGAAATACAATGTAAAGTATAATCACTACCTTGGTTTTGCAGGTCTTTCTATTGCCAGTCCTTCTCTTCTAAGAGCACGTCTGATACCTCTCGGCTTATCATTTTCGGCCCTTCCTCTAAAACCTGGTTCATCCAAGAATACCTGTCTTGACACTTTTATATTAGCTATGTCAATCTTGGGTTTATTCGTAAGCTTGGACAGTAATGCTTAAAGAAAGAGCACTGATTAAAGTCTCAAAAAGTAATAACGATAAAAAAAAGAAGATGATGTATAATGGTAATTGATACAAGTATCAACCAGAGACCAGACCAACGGACGTGGATGTAAGACCGATTTGTATGTAGAATACAAATTTGGAGAAACAATTTTCTACTGATAATACAAGCCGTAATAATGAAAAAAGAAAGTAATGTAATTTAAGTAAGTCAAACGAAAGAAAATATGTGACCCGCCTTTTCTGCTGTCTACATTATTAAGGGCATTAACTCTCTATATATGAAATCATTCAATATGAACAAAATAAAATGCACATCGGACATGACCAAAATACCAAACATATACTGTTGGTAGCATAATTTCTCCTCCAAAAGAAAGATAAGATATTACCATTCATTAAACTATATTGAACGAAAGAGAAAAACAAATTTAGAAATAGAAAATAAACTCCGAAGTGAATAAAAGCAAATCAAAACTATGATCATCAACTTGACTGTTACTTTGCGATCTCAAAACAACGATAGAACCATCTGTATGGTTGCAATTAGAAATAAATATGTTCACAAAGACAACAGTGATTTAATACTATGAAAATATAAAAGGAAAACATCATGCTCTACTTTGGTTTCTTCATTTGATTTTGAAAACGTAATGTTTGATGTGATTAAAGATCACTTCAGCGTAATTGCTTTAATTAAGTAAAAATAATCAACCGGGGGAAATGCAATCAAGGAAGTAGTACCTGAAAGGAAATTGGAATTTACCATGTTATGCAAACATTATAAACTATTATTTCAAATTTCGGACAATTACTGGTCTTATATAACAACATTTGGTATTGATCGGAAATATTGAATTCAACATGAAGTGCGCATTTTATTTTAAGATATGGGCCTACGGAATTTGGCAACGAGTGTTCGTATGGTTGATTGCTGATTCACCGACAAACGTATCTGAAAAAAAAGTAATGATTTGAATATCAACTGAAAATTTCAGAAGACGCACAAACGAAGATTTACCTAAAAGACAGATACAACTCTTAAAGTTTTATCTAACTCTAAGGAACAGTCTGATTTTATAAGATCAAGTCAATTGTCAACAAATATTTTGATATTCAGCACGTTTCCGCAGATGATGGTATTCACTTCAAAATCACATAAAATATATAACAGTTGATTTGTTTAACAAAACTTAAAAGCTCCATACACAGACAATCTGTTGTATGACATTACTATATATTATTATATGTGTTTTGCTTATTGTGGTGACCTGTAGTTGTTTATTACCTCGTCCCTTTGGTCTATTGTGGATAGTTTTCTCGTGGCAATCATATCACACATAATACATAATCCTTATTGTTATATTCAATGAATATCAGTGGAAAGACATTTATAACAATGGTAGGCCGTCAGTTTTAAAAACTGAACAAAAACCTTAACCTTTAGCCTCGTTGATGAGTTGAATGCTGGTGAGCATGTCAGGCTTGTTAGAACCCATCTCCTACTCTGTCCTTTGTCAGCAAAGATATGTTATTTTGATGATAATGATAACATACGAGTATTTACTTACGATGTCTAGTTGTTGGTATTTTGTGAATGTAAAGACTGCCGTAGTCACTATACAACACATCTACAATATTAGAAATCACAGGCGTTTGGTAACTGAAAATACCAAGCCTCCCTGAAAAACAAAACCAAAAATGGATATACAAACAGCAAGTAAGCTAAAAACGAGAGTTTCTTGACATTAACCGAATAAAATTGAAAAGAAAATAAAGATCAAATGCTTAGGAGATCTGTGTATTGTATTTTAAGCTTAGCCTAGGATTTACTGTCGAACATTGAGTTGATCTACTTTACCTAGCGATGTTAGATAGACAGAGACATATAATATGGCTCTCAGATAGGTAACGAATATTTACTTTACCAAGCGATGCTAGATGGACAGAGACATATAATATGTCTCTCAGATAGGTAACGAATATTTACTTTACCTAGCGATGCTAGATAGACAGAGACATATAATATGTCTCTCAGATAGGTAACGAATATTTCCTTTATCTAGCGATGCTAGATAGACAGAGACATATAGTACGTCTCTCAGATAGTTAACTAATATTTACTTTATCTAGCGATGCTAGATAGACAGAGACATATAATATGTCTCTCAGATAGGTAACTAATATTTACTTTATCTAGCGATGCTAGATAGACAGAGACATATAATATGTCTCTCAGATAGGTAACGAATATTTACTTTATCTAGCGATGCTAGATAGACAGAGACATATAATATGTCTCTCAGATAGGTAACGAATATCTACTTTACCTAGCGATGCTAGATAGACAGACACATATAATATGTCTCTCAGATAGGTAACGAATATCTACTTTACCTAGCGATGCTAGATAGACAGAGACATATAATATGTCTCTCAGATAGGTAACGAATATCTACTTTACCTAGCGATGCTAGATAGACAGAGACATATAATATGTCTCTCGGATAGGTAACGAATATTTACTTTACCTAGCGATGCTAGATAGACAGAGACATATGATATGTCTCTCAGATAGGTAACGAATATTTACTATCGCTAGATAGACAGAGACATATAATACGTCTCTCAGATAGGTAACGAATATTTACTTTACCTAACGATGCTAGATAGACAGAGACATATAATACGTCTCTCAGATAGGTAACGAATATTTACTTCACCTACCGATGCTAGAAAGACAGAGACATATAATACGTCTCTCAGATAGGTGACGAATATTTACTTTATCTAGCGATACTAGATAGACAGAGACATATAATACGTCTCTCAGACAGGTAACGAATATTTACTTTACCTAGCGATGCTAGATAGACAGAGACATATAATACGTCTCTCAGATAGGTAACGAATATTTACTTTACCTAGCGATGCTAGATAGACAGAGACATATAATACGTCTCTCAGATAGGTAACGAATATTTACTTTACCTAGCGATGCTAGATAGACAGAGACATATAATACGTCTCTCAGATAGGTAACGAATATTTACTTTATCTAGCGATGCTAGATAGACAGAGACATATAATACGTCTCTCAGATAGGTAACGAATATTTACTTTATCTAGCGATGCTAGATAGACAGAGACATATAATACGTCTCTCAGATAGGTAACGAATATTTACTTTATCTAGCGATGCTAGATAGACAGAGACATATAATACGTCTCTCAGATAGGTAACGAATATCTACTTTATCTAGCGATGCTAGATAGACAGAGACATATAATACGTCTCTCAGATAGGTAACGAATATCTACTTTACCTAGCGATGCTAGATAGACAGAGACATATAATACGTCTCTCAGATAGGTAACGAATATCTACTTTACCTAGCGATGCTAGATAGACAGAGACATATAATACGTCTCTCAGATAGGTAACGAATATCTACTTTACCTAGCGATGCTAGATAGACAGAGACATATAATACGTCTCTCAGATAGGTAACTAATATCTACTTTACCTAGCGATGCTAGATAGACAGAGACATATAATACGTCTCTCAGATAGGTAACGAATATTTACTTTATCTAGCGATGCTAGATAGACAGAGACATATAATACGTCTCTCAGATAGGTAACGAATATTTACTTTATCTAGCGATGCTAGATAGACAGAGACATATAATACGTCTCTCAGATAGGTAACGAATATTAACTTTACCTAGCGATGCTAGATAGACAGAGACATATAATACGTTTCTCAGATAGGTAACTAATATTTACTTTACCTAGCGATGCTAGATAGACAGAGACATATAATACGTCTCTCAGATAGGTAACGAATATTTACTTTATCTAGCGATGCTAGATAGACAGAGACATATAATACGTCTCTCAGATAGGTAACGAATATTTACTTTATCTAGCGATGCTAGATAGACAGAGACATATAATATGTCTCTCAGATAGGTAACGAATATTTACTTTACCTAGCGATGCTAGATAGACAGTGACATATAATCTCTCAGATAGGTAACGAATATTTACTTTACCTAGCGATGCTAGATAGACGGAGACATATTATACGTCTCTCAGATAGGTAACGAATATTAACTTTACCTAGCGATGCTAGATAGACAGAGACATATAATACGTCTCTCAGATAGGTAACTAATATTTACTTTACCTAGCGATGCTAGATAGACAGAGACATATAATACGTCTCTCAGATAGGTAACGAATATCTACTTTACCTAGCGATGCTAGATAGACAGAGACATATAATACGTCTCTCAGATAGGTAACGAATATTAACTTTACCTAGCGATGCTAGATAGACAGAGACATATAATACGTCTCTCAGATAGGTAACGAATATTAACTTTACCTAGCGATGCTAGATAGACAGAGACATATAATACGTCTCTCAGATAGGTAACTAATATTTACTTTACCTAGCGATGCTAGATAGACAGAGACATATAATATGTCTCTCGGATAGGTAACTAATATTTACTTTACCTAGCGATGCTAGATAGACAGAGACATATAATATGTCTCTCGGATAGGTAACGAATATCTACTTTACCTAGCGATGCTAGATAGACAGAGACATATAATACGTCTCTCGGATAGGTAACGAATATCTACTTTACCTAGCGATGCTAGATAGACAGAGACATATAATATGTCTCTCGGATAGGTAACGAATATCTACTTTACCTAGCGATGCTAGATAGACAGAGACATATAATATGTCTCTCGGATAGGTAACGAATATCTACTTTACCTAGCGATGCTAGATAGACAGAGACATATAATATGTCTCTCGGATAGGTAACGAATGTCTACTTTACCTAGCGATGCTAGATAGACAGAGATATATAATATGTCTCTCGGATAGGTAACTAATGTCTACTTTACCTAGCGATGCTAGATAGACAGAGACATATAATACGTCTCTCGGATAGGTAACGAATGTTTACTTTACCTAGCGATGCTAGACAGACAGAGACATATAATACGTCTCTCGAATAGGTAACTAATATTTACTTTACCTAGCGATGCTAGATAGACAGAGACATATAATACGTCTCTCAGATAGGTAACGCATATTTACTTTATCTAGCGATGCTAGATAGACAGAGACATATAATACGTCTCTCAGATAGGTAACGCATATTTACTTTACCTAGCGATGCTAGATAGACAGACACATATAATACGTCTCTCAGATAGGTAACGAATATCTACTTTACCTAGCGATGCTAGATAGACAGAGACATATAATACGTCTCTCAGATAGGTAACGAATATCTACTTTACCTAGCGATGCTAGATAGACAGAGACATATAATACGTCTCTCAGATAGGTAACGAATATCTACTTTACCTAGCGATGCTAGATAGACAGAGACATATGATACGTCTCTCAGATAGGTAACGAATATCTACTTTACCTAGCGATGCTAGATAGACAGAGACATATGATACGTCTCTCAGATAGGTAACGAATATCTACTTTACCTAGCGATGCTAGATAGACAGAGACATATGATATGTCTCTCAGATAGGTAACGAATATCTACTTTACCTAGCGATGCTAGATAGACAGAGACATATGATATGTCTCTCAGATAGGTAACGAATATTTACTTTATCTAGCGATGCTAGATAGACAGAGACATATAATACGTCTCTCAGATAGGTAACGAATATTTACTTTACCTAACGATGCTAGATCGACAGAGACATATAATACGTCTCTCAGATAGGTAACGAATATTTACTTCACCTAGCGATGCTAGAAAGACAGAGACATATAATACGTCTCTCAGATAGGTAACGAATATTTACTTCACCTAGCGATGCTAGAAAGACAGAGACATATAATACGTCTCTCAGACAGGTAACGAATATTTACTTCATCTAGCGATGCTAGATAGACAGAGACATATAATACGTCTCTCAGACAGGTAACGAATATTTACTTTACCTAGCGATGCTAGATAGACAGAGACATATAATACGTCTCTCAGATAGGTAACGAATATTTACTTTACCTAGCGATGCTAGATAGACAGAGACATATAATACGTCTCTCAGATAGGTAACGAATATTTACTTTACCTAGCGATGCTAGATAGACAGAGACATATAATACGTCTCTCAGATAGGTAACGAATATTTACTTTACCTAGCGATGCTAGATAGACAGAGACATATAATACGTCTCTCAGATAGGTAACGAATATTTACTTTACCTAGCGATGCTAGATAGACAGAGACATATAATACGTCTCTCAGATAGGTAACGAATATTTACTTTACCTAGCGATGCTAGATAGACAGAGACATATAATACGTCTCTCAGATAGGTAACGAATATTTAATTTACCTAGCGATGCTAGATAGACAGAGACATATAATACGTCTCTCAGATAGGTAACGAATATTTAATTTATCTAGCGATGCTAGATAGACAGAGACATATAATACGTCTCTCAGATAGGTAACGAATATTTACTTTATCTAGCGATGCTAGATAGACAGAGACATATAATACGTCTCTCAGATAGGTAACGAATATCTACTTTACCTAGCGATGCTAGATAGACAGAGACATATAATACGTCTCTCAGATAGGTAACGAATATCTACT